GAGTCTCACTCATTTAGTAGTCCCAATTCAGCAGCACCAGATTGTGGTGCAGAAAGCAGAGTTGCTGCGAGGCTCCACTAGCAGCCGTCACAGTCATCCCAGCGCGTCCCAGTTTCTCCGCTGCGAGACGCTACCTGCCCCCCCCCGGTCCCTTTGTAACTGGGAAACTGATAGAATTGGATCATAAGATCGTGGTGTTTTTGCAACTTCAGCATAGGGGATTGGGATGTTTATTGAACTTCGGCTTTCAACTGATTTACCTTGTAAACACCGTATGGCTCTGCCGCTCAGCGCTGCTGCTTGCTTCAGTCTGTGTCTGCGTTCTCACCTGCCTGTAATTTGAGAAGGTCCCGCCTCTCTGGCTGGCTCCCGCCCGGAAAATCTTCAGTGTTGATTGACACTTCAGTAATAGCCTATCAGATAGCGCTGTGGGCGGGACATTGCTCGTGAACAGAGAGTGGTGGCTGCAGCCAGAGAAACGGCCGCATCAGAGCCAGTCGTATCTGCAATTTCATTTAAAAAAGGCCGATACCGATAATCTGTAAAATGCGGAATATCGGCCTCGATAATCTGCCAGGCCGATAATCGGTCGACCCCTACAAACAACAATAGCAAGAGATAAATGTTAGACTATTAAGAAATAAAAATCTATAAATAGCTCCAACAGGTGTTAATGTCATGTTTTCTGAACGCTGTGTTTTTTGCAGGTGAACTTTGACGACAACAATCCGTTCAGTGAAGGCTTTCAGGAGAGAGAGAGGAGAGAGAGACTGAGAGAGCAACAGGAGAGACAGAGAGTGCAGCTGATGCAGGAGGTGAGACACACACACACACACACACACACACACACACACACAGTCATGATCATAGTGTATAAAGAGATAAGGAACAATAAGGAACCCTCATATTGCAGAGTTTAAGGGTTAATAAAGTGTTAATAACTAATTACCCCGCTGCCCCCTCGTCAGGTGGAGCGCCACCGGGCCATGCAGCAGAGACTGGAGCAGGAGCAGCAAGGCATGCTGGGAGTTGGAGTCCCTTCAGGTCCTCGGGGGGGCGAGGGCAGTCTCTCTCAGATGCCCTTCTTCAGCTCAGAGTTACCGCAGGACTTCCTGCAGTCGCCCCCCCCCTGCAGACCCCAGCTGTTCCCCCCCTCCTCCTCCATGATGTCACTTTACTCCGATGTTCTGCCCGACGACAGGCAGAAAAAAAGAAGCCGCACCCCTTTGTCTTCTGATGACATCACAGCCCCGCCCACTCCCGCCAGGTCCGACACTTCCTGCTCCACGCCCCCTCGAGCCAGCCTGGACCAATCGGAGTTCAGCTTCTCTGTAAGCCCCGCCCTATCTGGGCTCGCCCCCTCCTCAGAGCTGGAGAGGCAGCTGTCTGTCACCCAGAGAGGCCCCGCCCCTTTAGGTCGCATGGAGGTCAAGGTGAGGTCATATCCCCGTTATTTAAATTAAATTACATATTTTTTATCTTAACATTACAACGTTTTTTTCTACTTAAACTGTATAAAATGGAAATATTAATCTCTATGTTTCTCCCCCTGCAGCAGGAGCGAGTGGAGGGAGGATCTTGTGGGGGGGGAGTGATAAAGATGGAGGACTGTGGGGGGGGGGATGGGTTTTTCTCCCCCTCTCCCCTCCATGGTGGGGGAGACGGAGGTAAAGAGCTGCTCCGTCACCTGCTGAAAGAAAAGACCTCCCCCGAAACCCTCCAATCACCAGGGGCCACCAGACGCCTGCCGTCCAATGACAGCGTCCGATCTGAGGAGGAGGAGGGACCAGGGATGCATGGCAACGTGGTGAGGAGCATCGACAGATCATAGTTAAACATATTAATACAATGATCTTTAAAAATGCTAATAAATAATACATATTAATAAATAAATGGATAAATAATATAAACAATAATTAATAAATATCAACAAATAAATAGGTAATAATATAATTAATAATAAAATATATCAAATACATAATTCCAATAATTACTAATATTAATAAATAAATAATTATAATAATGATAAAAAAGCTAAATATGTTAATTAATTAATAAAAACAATTCTGTAAAGCGACCTTGGGTCCCCTGAAAGGCGCTATATAAATCTAAGTTATTATTATTAACCCCTGTGTGTTCCTGCAGATGGACACCCCCGACTCTCTGGACCCCTCCGGCAGGAAGAAGCCCCCCCGCTGTAAGAGACTCGCCCGACCAGAGAAAGGACCTCCGAAAAACAAGAGGAGGAAGAAAGAAGAGGAGCTGCTCTCCTCCTCATCCTCCTCCGAGCTGGTGGGGACTCACCTGCGACAGGTAGAGGGGTTACTAGATCATATTGTTACTGAGAAACTATTCAGAATCAGAACCAGGTTTCTCACCAGGTAGGTTGACACATACGAGGAATGTGACTTGGTGTTTTGGTGCATACATGAAAACAGTGGCGAGCCGTGACTTTTATACCTAGGCCCTCTGTCCACGAAAATAAAGCCCACCCATTTAGAGGGAAGATATGATTGGTCAATTGTGCTGTCATCTGACATTACTCTCTCGTTCAGTTACTACAGCGGGCCCTCTGTGAATTCACAGCTGGACCGCCAACTGCTCCTGTCTTCACCTCGCAGAGACGAGCTTCTTTCATTTAACCCTTCACATTCCAACAGAAACTGAATAGGCAGATTCAAAGGATTTATTTCTTTGGAAATGTTATTTTAAATACAATTAAATGAAGTTATTTTGTTAAAACTAATGAAAAATATAACTAAACAAATATTTAAAAACTATAACTTTAAAGAAAAAAAATGATGTTTAAATTTTTTTTGGGGGAATATCTTCTCAAAGAGGGCCTGCACCCTAGAGGGCCTTGAGGGCCTAGACCCTAGAGGGCCTAGACCCTAGAGGGCCTAGAGGGCCTAGACCCTAGAGGGCCTTGAGGGCCTAGACCCTAGAGGGCCTAGAGAGCCCTGACCCTAGAGGGCCTAGAGGGCCCTGACCCTAGAGGGCCTTAAGGGCCCGGACCCTAGAGGCCCCTGACCCTAGAGGGCCCTGACCCTAGAGGGCCTTGAGGGCCCTGACCCTAGAGG